TTAAAAAAAAATTTTAAAAAAAAAAAAAAAAAAAAAAGTTGCGTTTTTAAAAAGCTACGGGTGTTTTCTGGCCATTTCTTAAACACGGATAATTTCTGAGGTGAGATTTCACCAACAAAATTTGAATGTAACGTTTAAAACTTAATTAAAAAAATCATATAGTTTTGGTGGTGTGTTTATTTGTTTTGTTTTTTTTCTTTTTGGCTGCGAGATTTTTAAGGTTAGATTCGTTTGGATTTTGATGTGTTTGCTTAGAAACGGAAAGTTAGGCCTTGGAATGGATTTCATGACGCTTGTTAAAAATACATATTTTTGTTCTTTTTTAAATTTTGTGTTTATTTTTTCATCAGTATCCCAGTTTTGCACATACCGTTTATCTTTTCATGCATATATACGTACATGCATGCATATAATTTATTTGGTAACGAAAACAAGAACTTTTCATATACTTTCTCAAATAGAAAAGCTTCAACATAATCATTTTGGCCAATAATTTGAATTTTGTATCTCAGTTTATTCGTTTCAGTAGGTGATGATGGGAAAAAATATAATGAACAAGAATTAAACACGCCTAACTCTATATTCATCATCAAAATATTGTACATGGTGAGAATTTTCTTAGTTATATTATAAATTAATCACTAAAGTTTGATGTACTTATAAAAAAATATTAGATAATTTTGTATATAGAGATTGTCAAATGAGTCCTCCACGAATTAATTATACATAAAACTAAATATTGTGTCTAATAAAAGATTAAATTTTTTAATTTTTTTTCATAGATTTGTGAATTCTAAATAAAGTTGAAATTTAAATTTTTTTAGTTTAAAAACCTAGATGTTGTTATTATAATCTCTACTGCACTACTCATTAGATCATTTTTAAGCAAACATTTCCGAAATTACTAGTAAATGATACCAATGGTCTGCTCACCAGCAAAGTCTAGTACCTGTTGATAGGCAGCCAAAAAGGTTATCGGCGGCTTACTTTGGGTAGCGCAGCAGGCTTCAAACTGTTTCGCTAGCCCTTATAAGAAGCAAATATTAATGAAACAGGAGGTAATTAATTAGTATAAATCAAGTTATTTTGAAATTTGAAAGTTTAAAAGTTTGATTTCGTAGGAAAGAAACGTTACAGGGATTATGTTTAGGATAGGCATATTGAAACTGGATCTATCTCTCCCACATGCTCCTGCTTGGCTATTATGAACTAGGATTAGATTTGTCATGACATCACCAGTTGTTAATTTCATAGTATTGATCACAAGAAGTCACATACCTATGACCAAAATCCTCCCGAGTTGTCGACAAATCTCGACCCAGAAAGTTTCCTACCAATAACATCTCTCAACTCGATCTCACTAGGAAATCACTGCTCCTTCAACTTCGAAAAGACCTTCAGAAAATGGATACGATCAGTAAATAGCATCTCACTAAAAATGACCCGAATGAGATTTCAAAAGAATCTTACCATTTCACCATTGCAATATACTTCGAAGGCTCCAGAACTCTGTAAGAATTGTTGGATGATGAAAGTCCCACATCGGCTAATTTAGAAAATGATCATGGGTTTTTAATCAAAGAATACTGTCTTCATTGATATGAGGCATTTTGGGAAAGCCCAAAGCAAAGCCACGAGAGCTTATACTCAAAGGGGACAATATCATACTATTGTGGAGAGTCGTGTTCGTCTAACAAGAACGACCGGATAAAATTTGCAAACAGCCACGTGCTTGCGATGCTTCCAAACCTATTAGCACGCAAGGAATAGTACCAAGGTGGTGGTGCCATCCCCAACCTAGGAAAAATCTGTTCCCCCGCCATTATTGTTGCAACGATTCCAAATTGAACGACGGGTACTACTTTACTGAGAGGACGCTTTGGGATGGGTGGGGGATAATTCGCCAAAATAACTTCAAGTCCAGGAAATGATTACTCCAGCATATTTTTCATCGTTATTGCAGTTCCTCTGCAAAAAGTGTAAAATCATAAGCACTGCCACAAATTGAGATAAGATGATGGTACAACAACATTTTAATGAAAACATTCCAAAACCGTATGGATCAAATGCATGGCCACGGGTTCATAACATCTCCTATCTGTGAATAACAATGGGACGATCTATTGGCCCACTTGGGTTCACGAGTGAAATTCTTTTTAAAACTATCTCGTGTAATAACAATTGTAAATCCAGTTCACTTTTGGCCCACTTGTGTTCAATTCTTATGCTCTATGAGCAGAGACCAAAATTCTATCATCGTGAATCCAGTTCACTTTTTATCCTAAACCTAAACATTGAGTAGTCTGCACATTAACCTGTTCTTATACCTAATTAAATTAAGCTTGCAAACTTACTCTAATGAAGTTGCTTATCAATGGACACGCTAAAGCACAAGACACGCTAAAGCACGAGAAGTTCATTTAATTACAGTCTCAAAAAGGGGAGGTTAATTGAAACTTCCATTTCTGTCTTGCTCCAAATCAGGTAACCTAAGTACCAAACGATGTGAAGTTGGCTCCGAATGGAATATTACAAATTGTATTTCTGAGTTGAGGTCTGCACCTATGTTCACTCAAACTCGGATTCTTTAACAAGAACAGTGAAGAAGTGTACAACCAGTTTTCTATTATAATGACTCTCAATAGCCGCTAGAGAGGAGAAATTGAAATACTTGTTCAACTGAGGAAGTTGACGATGATAAAAAAACTTAAGACAATGTTTAACCGAACGACAACAGTGCAGCAGAGTACGGCCAGTTTTTCATAATGATGATTCTCAACAACCAGGAAAGAGTGGAGAAATTGAAATACTGGTTCAATCGAGGATGTTACAGAAATAAAAGAAACCTGTGCTAATCAAATGAAAAAAAAAAACAAAGAAATCATGTTGTTCCAAAGTACCACTAATTTTTCATCATAAGGACTCTCAGCAACCACTAGATAGTTCATAGCAGAGAAATCGAAATGTTTGTTTGATCAATAGACGAATATAAACATAATAACAGAAACCTTAGCTTAAAGAAGTAAAAAAAAAAAAATCAAGTTTAGAGGAACAACAACAGAGAAAATTCCGAAGTACAACCAACTATTCATCATAACGAATCTCAACCACTAGAGAGTAATATTCTCACAAAAACAACCACAAGAGAGTATAGAAATCGAAACGTCTGTTAAATCGAGGAATGAAATTAAAGTCAAAGATAATAAAAGAGGCCTGCGTTGTGGAAAATAAAGAAAAAAAAACAAAAAACAACGAAATCGAATTTAAAGGAACAACAACAGCGAACATTCCAGCGTACAACCAGCTTTTCATCATAGGGACTCTCAACAACCACAAGTGAGATAGAAAATAAAATGTTCGCTTCCATCAAGGATGTTAAGAAGAAACACCGGAAGGAAAACCACATAAGCGTTTGATTCACTTACTTTCCGCCCAAAATGAGACAGATAGACACAAACTTTTATAATAATGAAGATGAACTACCTGAAGAACAAGAAACGTAGAAATTGATATTGATAACGCTGCCATGGCCAATTCCTCCGATTCCGCTCTGTTTCTGCATTCCAAACCAAGACAACAAATCAAGTTGCTGAATATCACAAAACACGAACAAAAATCAAGATGAATCCAATCAAACATGAAAATCATTCACCTCCGTAGGAAATTGAATCGGTTCCTGGATGACTGATTCAGATTTAGGCTGATAGTGAACTCGAGGTGGAGAGTGATTGGCCGGTTTAGGAGGCGGGGGAGTAAAAAGATTCACGATATCAGTGAAAAGCAGAAAGATCGGCAGCCCTAACAGATCTATCTGTGTTCGATCCATCGGAGTCAACAATGCAAAGCTCTCGAGAACCAGATACTCACTTCCACGAGAAGGATTTGGGGGAAAAAGGAAAATTTACAAACGAAAATATGACGCCAATTGAAGGCTACAATTGTCCTCGTGTAATTATTTTGCCGCGTTATTTATACCCCGTCCAACTGCACGTTCACGAGTCATATAGATGGGCCAAATGGGCCGAAGCCTCTAACAATTTATTTGGTAGCCCAAGTTTTCGCAGGCCCAAAATGTAAATGAGAAAAGGCCCAATTAAGGAAGACGGAAAGTCAACAAAGTCGGCAGGTCAAACAATATTCTGCATGGGTCTTCAGACAGGAATGCCATTAAGTCAACAACAACGGCACGTGCTACGACCAATAATCAAAATAGGACTAAATCAAAGACTCCGTGTCCGATTCCCATTGTTCTACACTTACTTTCCCTTCTTTATTATACAAAATTACTTTATAAACTCGGTTAATATACATTTAATTAATTTTTAACTCAAATTTGTATAGTTGGAAATTTACCATTCTATGTCACAATCAGCGTCTAGGTTAAGTGGGGAGAGCGTCACATTATCACTGAAAAAAAGTAGGGTGCGATCGACCCCCACATGTTAAGATAGACAATGACCGACCTTCCAATGGCACTCATTGTCATGGTCGTACATATTCAACCGTGTGGTGTATGATCTTAACATGCTCACAACAAGCCTTAAAGGGAACCCATGTTGCAACCTCATTGAGAGAAAGTAGGTTGTGACCGACCCCCACCCCCACGTTGTCACGGTCGTACATATTCATTGTCATGATCGTACATCTTCAACCGTGTGGTGTCGTGACCTGAACACACTCACGACAAGCCTTAATGGGAACTCAAGCTGCATTCACATTTTTCGTTTAGTTTTGTGGCTTCATCAGGCTATTGACGAGGTTTGTCTTCGTCAACCAAACATCGTTTATACGAAATTTAAACTTGTTCAGTCACACATGTCGTTCCTGCGTGCTTGTTCGGTGATAGTCGGGGAGAGTGGTAAATTGGGAAAAAAAGAATTACTTTCTAATTTTTTTACCATAAGGAGTTGATGAGAGAGATAGGAGACAAAAGGATGAAAGGTAAGTTTGTCTTAAGCTCTTAATTAACTTTATTGCATAGTGTATGCATTAGCTGATAGGCTCGTCAGCAATTGGCACTAGCTTTTATCATTTCCTTTTACTCCTTTCTTCTGGTGTGAATTCAACCACCAAAAACATACCTCTACGATCACCCTCCTTGTCTCTTTCCACCCACCCTCTCCCCAAAATTCCCTCTCTCTCTCTCACTCCCTCACTCAACCATGCCCAACTCCGCCTGCTTTCCCGCCCTCTTCCGCCGCCTCCTCTGCTCCGGCAACCTCCCCACTCACCCATCTGAAGCTCTCAACGAACCCAACTCCGAGCCTAAACTCGTGCCTCCAGCGTCCGAGCCCAGCCCGGGCGTGGTGGCTCGCCTGATGGGTTTGAGTTCGCTTCCAGACGCCAATTGGGTTCCTGCCAATCGTGCCCCAGGTGCGGTTTCCAGGAGCAAGTCCGTGAATTTCGCGGATTATTTGCTCCATTTTGACACTAACCAAGCCCACCACCGCCGAATCCGAACCTCGGCTTCGTTCCGGGAGGTCCCGGCGTTGAGCCCACAGAACGAATTCTTTGTTCTTTACACGAAGGATTATTTCGACGGCTACGCTGTGGAAATTGAATCCAATTTGAAGAAACTCGAAACGCAGCGTTTTGGCGAAGAGAAACAGGGGAAGGAACAGAGCAGGAGCAATAATATGAAGACGAAGAAGAAGAAGATGAATGAATCGAAGATTTCGAAGCTTAAAGATGAGCCACGAAGGGAAATTGGTAAGAATTTCACCAACAGTAAAAAATGCAGCACGAGTAAAGATTCATTCTCTGTTTTACCTCCGGGTAAATACAGAGACAAACAGAATGTTCCCAAAAATGGCCATACTGTGAATTCGAAGAAGCCAGTAAAGCAACAGGAATCCGCCATTGAAACAGAGCTCAACAAGAACATTAAGAAGAAGAAGAAGAAGAAGAAGAATGTTAGCCGACATGTCGGGCAGACATCGCAGCCCGAATCCGACCAGGAAAACTCCAGTCCAGTGTCGGTTCTCGATGTCCAAGGAATCTATTTCTCAGGTAACTACTCTCTAATAATCACTGGGTTTATTCCAAAAATCTCTATACCTTATCATAAACTTTTACAGACGAAATGGAGGAAACTGATGTGAAGGGCGGAGACGCCGCCGGCCGGAGCGAGAAACTGTTGGAAAGAATCTGCAGATTGGCGGAGGAAGATATAAAAGAGGCAACGTGGAGGATTAAGAAGGTGGATGTGGAAGAATTATGCATGGAGGTGGAACGACATGTCGTCAATGCGTTGTTGGTTGAGAGCCTAGATGAGTTAGTGTTGTTGTAGTTGCAGACTTGCAGTGGAATTCCTTAACAATGACAAAAACATCTGTAATCTGTACATAAGCTCAGCTAGATGCCTCCATGTCGGAAAAGTCTGGTACTTTTAGTGGAAAAACTAATTCCAAAAGATATAATTGAATTAACTCTGGGGGAGAGAATTTATATTGTGTACTAATGGGTACGACCCCTATTCTTGAGATTCAGATTCCAAATTCAATATCTAATGGTCCTGACATTTATCCTATACGTCTGTAACACGGTTACTTTACTTATTCTTCACTTTTAAGAATAAAAACTATTCCCATAGACAACCACGAGCTCTTCCAACATGTTTTGTCTTCACTCACATATTTTATATAAAAATTTTCGCGATGTCACCCACCCATAGAATTGCTTAAATTTGAAGTTCCTATAATTAAGTTATTGAAAAATAATGTACATCGGTAACAACTTTTAGTTATTTTAAGTATTTCTTAATCATCCTATTCTTAAGATTGCTCTTATTTAGACGTGATATCGAGTTATTCATGTACCCAACGTTAGATTGCAACGTTGGGCCATTTCATTCTTAAAATTTCACGAAAATCGAGGTTTTAAAATAATAATAAAAAGAAAAGTGAATTTCCCAAACCTTTGGGTTGCCATCGACTTGGCCCAATAGGCCTTGTTGACCACCTGGTCCGTTGTTTGCACTCACCCAGCCCAAACTAAAAAGAAAAGTTTAAACCCAAAAGTTTTACTTTAATAAGCATATTACACGAATACATATTTTTTTAAAATTTACAATAGTAACATAAAATAAATAATTTTGAAATATACGAAACACCTATTAAACACAAAAATAAAAATTCGATATTTCTCAAGAAATTAGGTTATATTTCTCGAGAGAAGTCGTCTTTTCATACACAAAAGAAATCTAATTTTAGCTCGTGAATTTATTAATGGAACATTTTAAATTATTAAAATTAACAAAATTTAGAGAATAAAACTTATAATTTAAATTAGTAATTCTCGAGTTATATATATTAATTTTCTTTTGTTATTTTTATCACAAACCTTATCACTTGGAAAGGATGAGAGGAGAGGAGAGGCGGGTCCAAACATTTGACGATTGCAAAGTTGACTATGGATCCGAAAAAACACAACAAAAGTCGGTGACAGTAGGGACCACATTTATGAGGAGGGCCCACATGAATCCATATTGATGAGAGGTCATATAGGTAATTTGACTTTTTTTCCGGCTCAATTTAGGTAAACAAGAAAGTGTTTCATTTTCAAATAAATAATCTTGACTTTGTTTATTCAATGTTCATCAAATTAATTCAAACCATATATTATATTCCATGTAGCTTTTTTTGTAAACAAATTAATTCATACCTCTCATTCATATCCATATTTGACAAGCTAAGTTAGGTTAAATTAAAGTATTGTAGTACTTTTTTTAACTTATGTGAATAAAAAAAAACTATATATTATAATTCGTCAATATATTTTTAATGTAATGTAGATGTACCTAATAATATGCCCATTTGCTAATGTTTAACGAACAAAATATTGAAGACTTAACGATTTTATTTATTTATTTATTTATTTCATTATTTTTATTATAATATTACAAAATAAACCTCACATTATAAGATTAGGGATAGATTTCAAATTTTAAAAATATTAATGACAAAATTAACACTATCTACCATGACTTGGAATGATCTTTATGGTTTTAGCTGTCTCATTTATCAAGGACATTTTGGTAAGTTCCAAGTTTTCGATTTTAAGATGTAGAATTTCAAGCTTTTAATTTTTTAGGTGGTTAACTATAAAAGTGATTTTAAAATTTAATATTCTACACAAAATATTTTAATTTCTAAATATAAAATTATTTAAAAAAACAGAAACAAGAAATGGTTTGTCGGAATAACTAAAAATGTAAAACAAAGAATCATAGCACGTGAAACTCAATCCACGAGATTTTTAGCCACCCCCATCTAGAAAATTTATTTATTAAGATAATTATTTTATGATAGAAATATATATTTATTTATGTTATAGTTAATATTGGTGTAGACGGGTCAATTCGACTCGATTACAATGCAAAACTAAAACGAAAGACAGAAACATCTAAAATTGACCCCACCCCATGTTTCCAGGCTCACAACTTCTTTATTCCGTATTTAAAGATTTTATTGAAATTGCTAAGTTAAGAGCATAAATCCCATATCAATTTAGGTGTTACTGACTTCAAAATTATATACCGAGCCGTCTAAGTCGTCAATTCGTGGCTAAGAGAAAGACACGCACCTAGCACGTAGGGGGTTTGAGGAGCACGAGTCGTTACCTGAGTCGAGGCACGAACTTCGGTTCGAGTCGTTGGGACTTTTGGTTGTCTCTATCTAGTGGGTCGTTGCCCTTTTTGAGCCGAAAATGTTAGTGAACTGGCTTGGTTGATGTGTGCTGTGCCGTCAAAACCAACTTCCGAGTCAACTTGCGAGAAGCTGGGCCGTTGTGCATCTTTGTTTTGGGTCACTCGAATGGAATCATTAAGGCCATGATTCTCATACCATGTTAAAGAATAAACTCTCGTGACTTTATTTTTTTTCCCAGAATGTTTCGTACCAATAGAGCCAATAGAGGAGATGCATTATTTACTTATAAACTCATGAT